AGTCACCGCTGGAGGATCTAGAGGTCTTCGTCTGATTGGGTTTGTTTGGGGTGTATGAGTTATTAGACCTAACAGTCCTTAGTTTGGCTTCAGTGATGGTTCTTAACGATTGTGACGCTGAAGATGCTTTAGAAGTGAAGACATCTTCATTACCACTGCTTTCTGATTCTTCACTAGAAGAATCATCTTCTGAGCTGGATGCTTTATTCTCCAGTTTTTTTTAGGTTGATTTTACCTTTAAAGTGGACCTTACCCGTTGAGATGGACTGTTTGAAGATGCTTTTTTCTTTCAATTTCAGGTCTTGTTTAGGAGATTCACAGTTTATACTTTGGGCAACTCTTTTCAGGCTGGGCTCTGGACCTCCAAAGAGATCCTTTGTTCCAATGAAAGCAGGAAGAGATACAGTGTTTACCTGATTCTTCTTCTTCTTCTTTTCTTTCTCAGAGGTGGCGTCTCCACGAAGCGAGGCGAGAATATCTTCTGGGTTATTGCCTGTTCTTTTGGATGGAGCACTTGGGGTCTTCTTTGGTTTCTTCGACACTTTCATCATCTGAAATCACCTCTGCTTTTTTAGCTAGCTGCTCCAAGTCTGCTAGGGAAAGATCTAAACTGTAGCAGTTCCCCATCATTGCTTCATAATCAGAATCTACGCTAACATCATCATCACTAGCTGGTGTAGATTCACCTTGTGTTTTCTGGGTCTTTCTCTGGGTGAGTATTTCATCTGTGTCTGTAGAATCGTATTCCTCGTCTTTTGATGAAGTTAGTAGGGACTCTTGTTCCACTCCACCCCAGAAAACATTAGACTTGACAATAAAATCATCTCCAACCACCTCTAGGTTGTCGTCGTCATCCTCTGTGGAGGTTTGTTTTGGGTTCCTCAAAAGTTCCTGAGCAACCAACATTCTGATTTCGTCTTCAGAGTCGGCGTCGTTGTCCAAAACACAAACAGATTTTAGTTTTCCCGTCTTTGTAGCGGAGAGTCCGTTTTGTTGGATCGCCACATTGGTTTTGTTTTCAATGGCAGCCGCATTATTTGCATTTCTTTGAGCCAAATTACTAAGAAACAAACTCAAGTCTATTTTGGATCTTTTGGGACACGGTTTCTGCTTGGGAAACTCTCCTCTCCTTTTCTTACTGATTTCATCGGTTCCACCTTCAAGCTCCCATGTCAGCTTGGACACTGATGTGACGTCATCTGCAGCCTCCAGTCTCTTGATGTTGTGGCAGTGTTTGGATGGATCATACTTGAAGACGTATTCAAGATTTAAGGGTAGATAGTGAATTACACTGAAAGCATGATGATTTTACTCTTCATAATGATCCCTCATATACAAATTTGAAATGGCACTTCACTACAAAAAAACAACGTCAGCAGACAAGAAAGGGTGAAGATGACAAATGCACGGAAAGTGATATCTTGTTCTTTCCTTTATACTTCAGGTTCAGGACAGGAAGTACCCTCCCAAATTTACTCACGACCCAATTCTGGAAGAGTGGATAAACACAAAATCAATGTTAAATCAGCATCTGGCCATTTTTACAACTGGACAAATATTATTAGCAAAAGAAAATCACAGACACGTACCTTCTGTTCCTGGAATGGCAGCTTTCATGTGGAAATTCTCAACGCCGGCAACTTTAAGTGAGTCCACAAATTTCTCCTGAGGGATGGTCTTTGGGGTCTTGGTCTTTTCAACCAGTTGCTGTCGTTCCTCAGCAAGTCTTAAAAAACATATAAAGAATCAGTATATATAGCAACCAACAGTTTAACCAATATTTACTGGTTGAAGAAAGTTTTTACCTATGTAGAAAGCCTTCTTTTGTCAACTGAATAAGCAAGGTTCCACTTTTCCATGTGAATTTATTTAAGATGCCTACACCTGTATAAAAAGCGAATTGATTTACTGCATGACACGGAAACATTTTTAAGCGAGAGGGATTTATTATATAACTGTACATACATCTTTTGTATTCAGCATCTGTGATGTTTATGTTTATGTAGCCAAATGTTTTCAGAGGAGCTCCTGCAAACAGATCACAAAGATATTGCGCAAAATGTGAATAATATTGAATGGGTACCTAGTTAATGCAATAAAAATATTACATTAAAATCAGTTCAAAAATTCTGTGGCATCTAGCAGTCAGATGTCCTTTGGTTTTAAGCAGAATTCCTACCATTCTCATCTTTCCTCGTAGTGATTTCCACATCTGACACATCTCCAAATTTTCCAAATCTGACTTTGAGGTCCTTCTCAGACACTGTGTGCCCGAGACCACCGATGTACAACCGTTTCATGGCCAGATTTCATGCAATCAACCCATTCTGTGTATCATCAAAACACACATAATCTACAACTGTCACTCGACAGAGACAAAGCTGGACTCAACATTGTATAATTATTTTGGAAAAAACTCAAACATGCAGACTGCAGAGCATTCTGGGAAACAAAATAACTACAAATACGCATCTTGACTGTACAACCAGTTTTCACAAGTTACAAACAATTGTTTCTCAAGGAGTCTCCACACAATGTTATGATCCCTCTTTTATTTTTTTATAATTATAACTATTGCATATATTATGAAATAATATATATATTTTATATAATAAACACCTTGCAGAACATGAAAGAGTTATGTAACGTTAAACACAGTATAATAACGATTACCATTTGCCGTGTACACAAACTT